TCCCGCCTCCCGCAGCGCCTCCTTAACCCGCGCGCAGGGAAGCTGCCTCTGGAGTCCATCCAGGTGGTGCTGGAGGAGCTCCGCAAGAACGGTGAGGGCCTCATCCGGCCGGGGGGCGAGGGCTGTGCCTCCGCCTGGGGTGCCCCTGCCTGCAGCTCCGCGGGGTCCGGCCCTGCCTTTGCCGGTGGATTTAGCTGTGGGGAGATGAGGGGGATCAAAGGAGAAATCTGTTTTTGTAGACGCAGGGATATCTTGGAGGGTGGTGTGAGCGGGAGAGGCTGTCCCTGAGGCTGCCCCTGGGTGCGATGTCTGGCATGTCCCAAAATAGACTTGTTTGATCATTACTGCTGACTGCTGCTCTGACTCCATCTCTGCTCCTTGTTGATTTCAGGGAACCTGGAATGGTTAGATAAGAACAAAACCAGCTTTCTGATCATGTGGAGGAGACCAGAAGAATGGGGAAAGCTCATCTATCAGTGGGTGAGAGCGTGGGGGTTGCACACCCAGACCAGGCTCTGTGTCCATGAGGACAGGGGGTCCTAGCTGCCATTTGGGAAAAAACGCTGCAGTGTTTCCTTGCTTCTTCACTGCTTTTCCTTTTTTCTTTCCTTTTCTCTCTGTTGCAGAGGGGTGTGGGGTTATTGACAGCCTGTTGCTTGCTTTGAGCTGCAGATGCTGTTGTCCACCCCCAGTGTCACTGGCTGTTCTGTGGTGAGGACAGGGCAGTGTCGCTCCCTGGCCTTTGTGTGGCCCAAGTCCTCAGTGCAGAAGATGTGGGCAGGAAGAGCAGAGGGCGCAGGGGGAAGAAGTGTCGTTGTTTCCTTAGGCAGCACTTCCTGCCCCAGTGCGTGTCCAGGGCTGCTGCTCATCAAGTGTGCACGTTCCATATCATGTGCTCTGGGATGTATGAGGGATCAGACAAGGATGTTCAGCCACACAAAGATTTGCTGTATTGCCTTTGTGTTTCCAGGTGTCGAGAAATGGCCTGACCAACTCTGTGTTCACCCTGTATGAATTGGTCAGTGGAGACGACACAGAGAGTGAAGGTAATGTCAGGGCTCATGTTCCAGAGTAGGTTTTCGTAGCACAGTGGATTGGAACATGGAAACAGTTGCCAGATTACAGTTTTGTGGATTAAATACTGTGAAATCTCACACACGGACTCGCCCCACTCACAGGCACATACTAGTCCAAAGGCTTTTACCACTTTTCAGGAACATCTCCCTCTGTAATTGCATTTTCACTTCCCCCTCCCCTCCAGCCTCCCCAGTGCCCAGCTGAGGTGAGGGATGTCTTGTTTTCATGCCGAGCTCTTGCACCGCCTTAGAGGCTGTTGTGACTCATCCCTGCTGTGTGATGACCTTCAGGCTTTTTTCCTGAAGCAGTGACATAGGAATGAGCCTGTCAGCATAGCTGTGACTCTGGATTTGCTGTGGTGATACAGTGCTCTTCAGAGCCCTCTTCATCACTGCCCCCAGTCCCTGGACCTTGCAAGCCTGTTTGATTTTTTGATGTGATTCTTTTTTTTCCTGTTGATGGGGATCTCTCCTCTTCCCTAGAGTTCCACGGCTTGGATGAGGCTATGCTGCTTCGTGCCCTGCAAGCCTTGCAGCAGGAGCACAAGGCTGAAATTATCACGTTGGACGATGGCCGAGGCGTCAAGTTCTTCTGAGAGGAGCTCCCTGCCCATCGCCTTCTGTGGTGGCCAAGGGTAGCTCCCTGGGCCTGACTTCAAGCCGTGACTGCAAGTAGCTGCATCCTTGGGATTTCTTGGGACAAATAGAGTCTGCAAACCCTTCCAAAGACATGACTTAGAAATATCTGGAGATCCTCTGTCTGTCTGTTCTCCCTGTTGATGTGTTTGAGAGGCTAAAGCTGCTCTAGGCAGTTCTGAGATGGACCACTCAGAAATGAAATACTGGGGCTGAGATGGACCACCTAGAAGCGAAGGACTGTGACAGCCTCAGAGCACTCCCAGCTTGGCCTCAAAGGCCCCCCACCCCCTGCCAGCTGCGTGCTGGGCCCCGCGGTGCCTTTGCGGTGCTGGGGGGTGAGGCAGGAGCAGGAGACTGACTGTCGCTGCTGAGCTGAGGGAGACCTCAGTGGCAGAAAAACACGCTTGCTTCAAAGTGGCCCGGAGGTGCCAAGGAACTAATTTCAGGTGATTAAAATGAGGTGTATTTATAGAGCAGCCTGGGTGTTTTTGTCTGTTTCTCCATCAGAAGTAAAACAGAGCAGTGTAGCAAATTCCTGCCCTTCAGTCGAGTTTCCTCACTGCCTTGGGGGTATGCAGCACTGCTGGAGTGGGCTGGGCCTCCCCCAGAGTGGGAAGCAGCAGCACAAGTGCTTTTCTCCACTTGTCAGGGCTGTGGCCTGTGGGGCCCTCACTGCCTGTCTCAGGACAACATTTATTTTACTATTGCACCTACAGCCTGCTGGAAACCCCTGGGTTTGTGCAGAGGTGGCGGGTTGAGCTCTGTACCACCTGATAGAGAGGGATGACTCAGCTTTAGGCTCCTGGTGCTGATAACAAAGCCCCGAACTTGCTGGGAACTGCGGTGCAGGTGTGGTCGCTGACCCTCTCAGTCCTGGGGAGGCCTGATGGCTGTGCCAGGGCAGGATCACGTTTGCCTTTCCCTGAGCTTTCTGTCCATGTTGCTGGTGGAGGTGGGAGCAACACTGAAGGAACCTTTGGTCAGACCAGTGTGGTCATTGTGGGGGTTTGGAGGAGCAGACAGTGCCTGCACCTCACACACTTCCACTGCCTGCCCCTGGCCGGAGTTTGGCGGTGTGGCCGGAGTGCCCTGCCCTTGAGGGCAGCCTGGCACTGGTTCAGGTGCTGCTGACAGCCAACATAGGCAACAGGGAATTCTCAGTGTAGGTGAGATACTGGAGTCCAGGGTCTGTGAAATTTAAAATCCCATTCAGCATAACCCTTTGCAGCCAAACTGAGAGGCAGTTGGTTCCCAAAGGGGATTCAACACTGGAATTTGCTGGCCAGGGAGGTGGTGGTGTCAAGAGAGCCTGGAGGTGTCACTCTATGCCATGGTGTAGTTGATCTGGTGATGTTAGGTCCTAGGTTGGACTTGATGATCTCAGAAATGTTGTCCAAGCTCAATGATTCTGTGATGCCATCCTGGGTCAGACCCAGGGACCTCCCATCCCTGCTAGGGGTGGACTTAAACTGGTGACCTCACTGTTCCCAGCCTCTGGCCCTGCCCCTGAGTCCCTTTTCCCTCTGGTTCTCCAGCCCCTCCCTTAAGGGTGGCTCAGGGGCAGCTCTGGGTCAGACCTAGGGACCTCCATCCCATGCCAGGTCATATGGTTGGTGATTGTTGAGGCCTCTACTTTGCCTAGGTCTCTGTCTGGTCTCTCTGCCTTCAAGGGATTCAATACCTCCTCCCAGTTTTGTATCATCTGCAAATTTCCTTCCTAGTCCTTCAAATCCTGCGTCCAAGTCACTTCTGAAGATCTTGAGGAGCACTGGGCCTAGGCTGGAAGCTACTAGTGGATCCCAGTAGTGACCTGTCAGCAGCCTGATGTAACTTCACATTTTGTAGCAGGAACCCATTGACCTGAACTCAGTGGGATGTGCTGCCCTGGTCTGGGCACATCGCTCTGGGGCTATGACTGGAGCCCAGGCTTCCTCTCCGTGCCAGAAGAGGCAATGCTATGGAGGAATTCTCGGGTGCCAGCACTTCTCTGCTGGCAAAAGGCACTGTCAGCACTTGTGATGAGTCACTGACACGCTGGGCTGGTGTCATCTCCCATCCTTTATTGAGACCACCATTGCAAGCTCTGCTGTGGTGCTGCCATGCACTGATGACACTGAGCCCAGCAGAAGTGAAGACTGTGCCATGGCACATGCTAGGAGCTCCACAGCACATCTGCCCTCAACACAGGCACAGGTTCTGTTCCAGCCAAGACTCTGGTTGAGCAATGATCTTCCCTCTGTGTCTGCAGTCACCAAAGTCTCTGTGTAGGTCTGTCTGCTACCAGTGTCTGCCCTGAGCTTGTTTGAATGTCCAAGTTCTGCCTCTGCTTCCCTCTCCACGCCACCCACATTGCCCCTTCCCTTCCTGGTTGCTCTGCCTCCCTGCTCCTCCTACTCCTGCAGCAAGCCGTGGTGCTGTGCCTAATGGCATCTGATGCCAAGCCTTCAGCAGCCAGGCCCAGGGTGTCTGTTCATGCTGTCTATGTGCGTGATGCCGACCTCCCGGCACTGTGTTCCAAGCTGGGAGTGCTGTATGTAACCTGGCTGTCCTTGAGAGAGTCTGTGTTCTTAATTAAATTTGCTCCCTTCTTAGGAAATGGCTGATGTGACATTAGATAAGACTAAAACCAGCTTTTTTCATTCCAAGGCACTCCTGGCAGCAGCTCCCTTCTCTTTTTCAGCTTCCTAATTAGTTGCTTACTCGGTGAGAGGAGGAGAAGGCAGAGTATGTCCCCTCTGCAGAATGGACATGGTGTAAAATTCCTTTTCCACACCCTCTGGGCTGGTTAGGAGAGGCTGCATCCAGCCATGCCTGCGATATCCCTGTGGGACTGGCTCCCCTGGCAGATCACTGCGGCACTGGCATTGCAGCGAGGTGCTGGCACTTGCTGCTGTCACTGCTGGGGCCATGGGACAGGACCTGAGAATGGCAGAGCTGGTGCAGCCACCGCGGAGGGAGCAGGTTTCCCTCTGAGAAGGTGCTCCCCAGGCCCCGGAGGGGCTCACTGGAGGAGGTGGTGTTTCCGGGGGACTGGAGCAGCCCCTCCTCTGGCTTGTGGCCCCTCAGAGGCCCTTGCCATGTCTGGCCATGGTGATTAGGGCTCGCTGGCTGGGGCGAGGCAGAGCTCAGGGGGCTGGTGTGGAGATAAGGTGCTATCAAGCCACACACACTCAGATTCTGCTGGTCTGGGAGGAAAGGCACCAAGAGGGGTTTTATTTGATGTGTCTGCTCAGAAGCAAGAGTTGTTTCAGTTTGATAAATTTATATGTTGGGATAAACTTGCAGAAGGGTCACATCTGTACCTCTGGACCGAAGAACTCATCTGCAGTGATCTGCCCAGGGTTACAGCCACAGCTGAGGTTTGGGTGTCATCTCCTCTTTCCTGAACTCGGGGGTTAGGGCAGGGAGTGATACAGCAGCTCCTGCAGGCGCAGGGTGATGAAGTCAACTGTGAAGCAGCCCTGGGTGTCCTTGGAGCTCTCCACTCTGACCCTGGGACAGGCACTCCATGCTGTGCATCTCAATCTGTAGGGGGGACACCTGCATCTGGACCCATCCTGGCCCCTCTGTGGTCCTGCCCTGAGCTCCATGATCAGAACGGACAATTCCTGGCAGGGCTTGCTGGAGCCCAGAGCTGAGCAGGGCTTTGATTCATGATCTAGTTCTGAGGAGAGCGATTACACAGTTCCCTGTTCTCTTCCTGGCAGCCAAATGCAGGCGAGAAATGGGTTATGTTCCCTGATTGCAGCGGTTCCTCAAAGTGAGGGCTGGCACTGGTGCCTGCAGCCCAGAAATGTCACCCTGATAACGCTGGGAAGCTGCAGGCACCCACGGGGAGCTGCAGAGGGCACCTGATTGTGGAGCAAGAGCCCTCTGGTTTTGGGCCAAGCTGGTTCCACTTTGGTGTCCTGGGCCAGGTCAGCAGGGGACCTGTGCCCCTGCCCAAGCTGCATCTCCCCTGCCAAGCTCTGGTGTGAGGTGGCCTTTGAGGAGTTGGGCAGGGAATTTCTCAGGCCACTCACCAGGGAGGTGCAGAAGGGCAGCAGTTGGAGCAAACTTCACCTCTAATTTCCTCTCCTGTCTGCAGGGGCCTCACTGGACTGGGACACACCCCAGCTCCTCTGGGATCTTCCAAGGCATCTCGTTTCATGATGAAAGTCCTCGATAAGGAGACATGAACCTGCCAGGGGCCAAGCTGAGATCTCTGCCTGGCTCTGTGTCTCTCACTGGAGAGCTGAGGCTCCCTGCCAGCCTGGGCCGTGTCCCTGTGCCCTGGCAGTGCAGGGCCCCTGGGAGGGACCCTCGGGTGGGGGCAGCCTCAGAGCCAGCCCGCAGGGGCTCGGCAGCGTGCTTCCCTTTCTGGCAGCAGTGAGAAGTGGGCAGGTTCTGGGCAGGGCTCACCCGAACAGAGTGTGTTGTTTGACAGAGCTGAGTTAAACTGTGCTGCATCTTACAGTAGCACGAGAGTCCCCCGTGGCAGGGCCAGCGTGAGGCTGTCGGTCACAACCTTTCTGCTCTGGTGGCCACAGCTGCCCCAGCAGCAGGCAGAGCTCTGCAGGGGCTGGTGCTGATGTGGTTGTTCCCCCGGGACCCTGCCCCTCACGCTCCAAGGAGCGCAGAGCTGGCAGGGGATGTGGAAGGGAGGCATTGGCCAAACCCCTCGTTAGAGAGAGGGTACCTGGTTCCTCCGGTGGAGAGCCGAGCTGGAAGAGCCAGGTCATGTGGCAGAGCAGAGATCAGCAGTGTGACACAGCCCGGACAGGGCTTTTGTATGAACATTTGCTTAAACGCTTCTTCCTCCTCTCGCTGGCGGCGGTTTGTGGGGAGCAGCCGTGCGGGACGTGGCCGCAGCCGAACTGCGGGTCAGCAGTCCCAGCCACCCCGCGTCACCCTGCGGGTGCCAGGTTGGCGTTCAGGAGGACGTGGCTCTGCTCCCCTGTCGATCCACTCCTTAATG